AGCCTCATCTTCTTGAACTTCCCACGCTCCTGTTGGGGGCTAAGAACACGCTTATCTCCCTGAGCCTGGCCTTCATATGTCCATTCCATCACAGCTACAGAGATTCTCTTCTATTGGAATAATTCTCTGCTAATTGTATATGATCTCAATTCAACATGTTGTGCTGCTGTGGTGTCTAACAAATGGTCCTGTTTTCAGCTGGGGCAGTGGAATAGGCAAAGCCCGTGGTCCCATTTTCCTGGCCTTGGCGTCCCTTTTGTGGTGCAAACTGGGGGCAAATTTCAGCATAACGAGCCAAAAAGTGAATTTATATATTAAATGCATTAGCCTGTTACAACTGAGTCCCAGCTGAAACAGCCTATAAGGCTGAGTAAGTAAGGAAATGGATAAATAAATAAGTGGATTTATTCAGCTCAACTGTAAAAAGGTGGAGGGGAATAAAAATGTTTTGGGAGGCGACTTTTTTTCTTACCAGGTCTTGCCCTGGTAAAAAGAAAAATTAGCCTTTGGCAGCTCAAAGATGATCCACTCTTTGCTCTCTTGCACTCCGCAAGACTGAAAACCTGTTAGTTTATTGCTTATTGACCCCTTAGATCAATGTTTCTCAAGCGAGGCAGCATTCAGATGTGTGGGCTCCATCTCCCAGAATTCCCCAGCCAGCATGGCTGGCTGGGGAATTCTGGGAGTTGGAGTCTGCACATCTAAAAGCTGCCACGCTTGAGAAATGCTGCCTTAGAGCAACAGTTGATTTTTTTGATTGTGGACCTTTATCAGTAAAATAATTTTGAGCAGGCCCTTCCCATGTATGTTTTGTTTTTACATTTTCTGGGATTGATCATAGCATCTTAGCTGTGCTCTGTCAAGTCATCACATACATATGTGTTACATGGCTGTAGACTTTTTTTTTTTTTTGATGGATGGTTAAAAAAAGCAGTTAATGTGGCCTGATGCAAAATGTTTCAAGTCCCCTTTTTCTGGTTATTTGTCCCCTGAGTCTGGAGTAGTAATAGGCACCTTGGGTGCAATCCCGAAACATCTGGAGCACCACTTAAACACCATCGGCACTGACAAAATCACCATCAGTCATTTGCAAAAGGCAGCTATACTTGGAACAGCTTATATCTTGCGACGATACGATACCTTTTTATAACACCCTCCAACAACCACATCGGCCTATCCCAGGTCCTTGGGAAGGACTCGACAGGGGGATAAAAATGCCAAATCCAGTCTAAACATCTGGCTGACTGTGTGACCAATCATATTAATAATAATAATTTATTAAATTTGTATGCTGCCTGTTGTTCAACAACTCTAGGCAACGATCAAAGAAATTACAATAAAATCAGTAAAACACAAAACATAATACATAAATATAAAAGATGACATATGGTAGGTTTGGATTTTCTTTACGTTACATTTATTTAGAGTCTACAGAACAGCTTTGGGGGTTTTCCATCTCAGAATAGAGGGTAACTATGCCACTGATTTGGAACAATTGTGGTTGGTGGGGTGCAAAAAAGAGGATTTGGGAAGGTATCTGGTCTTGGGGAGGACCACTGGCATAAAAATATAACATGATCCAATATAATAATCTATATCCACATTAAAATGCTTTTCCTCTTGCTTTCTCAGTACTTTTTCGTATTGTCTCTCTGGATAAAGATTTCCATCCCTTGAACGAGAAGGTACGTTCCACTGTGCGGCAAACTTTTCAGGATAGTTGTTCAGTTAAGGCCAATCTTTGGGGACTGTGTGGATGGAGACACTTCCCTTGAAGGTTTGTTGATCGGTAACCTCAATGTTAAAGTTTTGTTACCCAGATGGGGCCTTGAAAGCAGAATCCAAGGAAGGGGATTTCCAATGAAACTGTGTCTCTGCATCATTTGGGACAAGTTGTGGTAGATGCGATCTACCTCAGCCTCCCCTGATTTGATTTCTTCCAGATAAGTTGGAACTGCAGTTCCCAGAATTTCCAAACAAGATGGCTATAATGGTTATAATCCCACCATTTTGGAAAGCAGCAGTTCTGAGGCTGCTTCTCTCCCATATGTAAACCAAATGGGAATGAAACCAGTTTAAGTCCCTTTCCGGATGTCAACCCCTTCCTTCATTTTGGCCACAGATGGTCAAGGTTTCTGTCCAGACCACACACAACATGGCCCCTGATTGTGCATTCCCCCATTTCTTTAACCTTCCTCCATTGTGGTCCTTTCAGGGATAGGATGTACAACTAGTCCTCGCTTAACAATGGCAATTGGGACCAGCAACTCTGTTGCTAAGCAATGCTGTCATAAAGCGCAACATCATGTGACTGCACCGACTTACAACGGCAATTGTGGTTGCCATCGTTAAACGAATCCCGCACAGTTGTTAGGTGTGACATCATGCAATCGCCTTTTGCGACCTCCTGCCAGCTTCCCCACTGACTTTGCTTGTCAGAAGCCGGCTGTGAAGATCGCTAATGGCAATCACATGACCGTGGGGCACTGCAATCATTGTAAATGCGCACTGGTTGCCGAGTGCCCGAACTGTGGCCACATGACCATGGGAACACTGCGACGGCCACAACTATGAGGACCGGTCTCCTTTTTCAGCACCATTGTAACTTCAAACAGTCGCTGAATGAGTAGTCATTAAATGAGGACTACCTGTATATACTTTTTGAAAAGGATAATGCCGTTTACAAAGTGAAAGATCAAAATGAACATATATGGAGACAGGGACATTCCTAGTAGTCAAGATGGTGGTTGTGACTGGGTGATTGAAGCCCCGCTCTTTTTTACATGTGAAAAGGGCAAGGCTTCCATTGCACAAGCATGGCCACCATCTTGACTTTTTTGATCCCCTCCCCACCCCGTGGATGCAGGCCTAGCAACCTGCTTTAAAATTAAACTTCCTTTCTTGCAAGTTCTAAAGTAGTGCTCCTACCACAGATGGTCCTGGCGGAGCAAGTGTAGATGATAATTGGTATTTCTTCAGGCATTTCCAAATGTGTGGTTGATGAGAATGTGTCACCGCATGAACCCAGTTGTGTCTGGGGAGAGAGAGGAACCCACACATTGTCCATTATGGACCTTGGATTTCTGCCCCCAGATCCTGCTTTGGTATCCCATTGCACCCATGAACACATTCTCCTTGGTGGCGTGGGACTGTGTCACACAAAAGTGAGCGGGGTGGTCAACGTTTGGCTTCAAGTAAGCTCTAATTTTCCACGCCTGGGCAACTTTGAGCTGGCTGGATTTCAATTCCCAGAATGCTTAGCAAGGGCCATGTTGGCTGGGGAATTTAGGGAGCCGAAGTCCACCCATCTTGCAGTTGACCAGGTTGAGAAATTCTGCTCTAATTCATTCCTGTTGCTGATTTTGTTTAAATCTGTTTCTTTCCACAGTTTCCTTTGGTCTACATTCTGGTAAGTAAATAAGTCCCCTTCTGACTGTAATTGTTAACAGATTAACGAATAACAGGTTCTCCAACTGGGGCATTTTTCTGATGACTTGAACTTTAACTCCCTTATCATACCAGCAGGATCATCTGCAACAGTGGGTCATAAAGGTCAAGATGACACGCACGCCTGTGCCATTGAAGCCTTGCCCCCTCTTTATGTGTGTCATTTCCATTAAATCAACAAATCTATCTTACTGGGTTGTTACAGGGCAAATAAAATGAGGATAGTCCTCTCTGTACACTACCATAAAGCTCTAGTAGCATATATAAGCAGCGATTACATTCTTATCGCTTCTCACTTAGCTTTCCAATCCACGTTTCTGATTCCTTTGCACCTCAAGAAAAACCAAGGCAATGAACTTGGGCAGAATTAAAATGAAATCATGCAAAAATTGCTTGGCTAAATTACCCGGGAAATTCTCCTGTCTGAATTGTATCAGATCCCCCTGTTAAAACTAACCGGTGGGAAGAGAGTCTTATTTGCACGTTCCATCTCCGATCGCAAGAGAGAGAACCGCCTTTGACACATGCAGATGGATTCTATAGAAATCCTATGGAAAATCAAGGGAGCATTGTGGCCAAATCCGCCGAAAATCCACCCCTTCTATGTGCGACTGTTCATTTTTGGAAGAGATTTCACTCATTAACTCAGGGGAATTGTGTTCAAAGATCATCTTTGTTTTATTGCAATCTTCAAACCACCAAGGCCTTGAACTGCTTACAACAGACTTCCCAAATTAAGTAGCGCCCGTGTGCACTAGATTTCAATTTGCACTGACTCTAGGCTGCTCAGTACGGATTATTTGAAGAGAGAAGGAAATTGGAGAAGATTTGCTTATGCATCCTGATGGACCAAAAGTCTAGTGCAGTGTTTCTCAACCTTGGCAACTTTAAGATGTCTGGACTCCAACTCCCAGAATTCCCCAGCCA